AGGTGAGGATGTATAGATGGACCCAGAAAAAGTTAATGTCAAACCAATATTGGTTAGGTATTTAATTTTCACGTGCAAAGGGCAACATTATTATAGTTGAGTATGGAATGAAAGTTTTACATAATCCAAAAGTACCATAAAATACATAATCCTTACTTAGATTATTAAGTGCTGTTACTGAAAAAAGTAAAAAAATCTGGGGATAAATGTATAGTTTCCTCATCTCAACCTTTCCACCATATGTAATTCTGCCCCCAGATGTTAACAAATCATTTCTTTAAAAGTGTATAAATCATATATCTTTAAGAATCATTTTATAAGTCACCATAATTAACAACAATAATTTTCTTGGTCTATCAACCTAAAGAGAAAAGAATTTATCATTTAAACCAGTACCCTAATATTAAATACATATTTCATAAGGATTTTGAGCCCAATGAATTTAATAACTTTAAAAATCACAGAACCATAAATCTATTTTTATAATCTTCCAATCTAAACTCCAAACTAAAAAGTTATACACAAATCAAACTAATAATGAATTGAAATTCTTTTTGTTTTGAACCCCCAAACTCTACATTTTGTGCTCTTTTTCTCCCAACCAGTATTTAGTATTTTCAAAACTAAAACACCAACTACTTGAAAATGCTTCAGTACCTATAGAGAAACTTAGTTATGTGTTTCCCTGTTTAAATAACAACTCACTTTTATAACTGTTAACTGAAAACCTATGAATAAATTACTGAGGTAGTTTATTGTTTTTTTTAAAGGAACTTCACAAAGAATTCTGAGCAAAGATGTCTTCTTAATAATGCATATAACAGCCGGGTGCAGTGGCTCACACTTGTAATCCCAGTACTTTGGGAGGCTGAAGCGAGTGGATCATGAGGTCAAAAGATCAAGACCATCCTAGCTAATATGGTGAAACCCAGTTTCTGCTAAAAATACAAAAAATTAGCCAGGCATGGTGCCATGTGCCTATAGTCCCAGCTACTCCAGAGGCAGAGACAGAAGAATTGCTTGAACCTAGGAAGCAGAGGTTGCAGTGAGCCAAGATTGTGCCACTGCACTCTCAGCCTGGGAGACAGAGCAAGGCTCCGTCTCAAAAAAAAAAAAAAAATGTATATAACATGTATATTCAGGTTTTCCATATCATCTTTTCTTAGAATAGTACATATTAGCAATGTGATAGCTATCTCTTCAAATTCCACCCAAAAGTCAGTTTTAAGCAGAAGATGATCTATTTTATGACTTACTGGAAAAGTAAAACATTAAAGAAAAACCACTAACCAATACTCCTCAGTGCTTGGTTTTTGGTCATTTTTCTACGTGACAATTAAAATTTTTTCATGACAGAATTAAAATATTTTCATGTATAGTATAAATACTGCAATATGTATGCAAACTTTGATGATCAATTCCACAGAAAGCTATGCAAGCAAGGTGGGTATGTGGGTGTTTTGGAGATTAGGCCATTTAGGTTAATATGCTTCCTTTTCTCTCCTCTCTCAAGGGAGTATATTACTAAATAAACTACAGGTATTTAAGTACACTGGTTAAAAGCTATGAAAGTTTTGGCCAGGTAAAGTGGTGGCTCACTCCTGTAATCCCAGCACATTGGGAGGTCAGGGTGGGCCGATAACCTGAGGGAAGGAGTTCAAGACCAGCCTGGTCAACATGGAGAAACCCCATCTCTACTAAAAAATACACAAATATTAGCCAGGTGTTGTGGTTTGCGCCTGTAAGTCTCAGCTACTCAGGAGGCTGAGGCAGAAGAATCGCTTGAACCTGGGAGGCTGCAGTGGGCTGACAACACACCACTGCACTCCAGCTAGGTGACAGAGACAGATTCCATTACACACACACACACACACACACACACACACACACACACAAAACCATGAAAGTTAATTACTCTCCCTGAACCCATTAAGTGGTGAAAGATTAATAATATAAAGGTCAGTGTCTGCTATATAGTAACTGCTCAATAAATGTTCAGCTCTTATGACCATTTGTATTAATAATTCAGCACCAGTTCCTATTTCAGCTGCTTTCATTTATAACATGGAATCTTCCCCATTTTCCATATCTTAAAAATCATATTGGAAAACCTCCCACCTTCAAAATTTTCAAAAGACTTTTCCACTAAAATACTAATATGACTAAATATTTAGATCTGGAGAACTCAGTCTTTATCTGAAGGATGCGTTAATGAAATGTTCAAACATGTGAATGTTCTCTGAAATATATCAGTATACTAATTTATCATTTTCATTATAGATCAGCATGTAGCAAATTCATAATCCATACCTTTTTTATTATGAGGGTTTTCTAGACTGATATACACCTTTAAGACATGAGTCATCCTTCCAGAGTTGGGGAAACTGATGGAAAAATGGCTAAATGATTCAGCATGCTGCAGCAAAATGAGCTGGTCATGAATTTAACATTTCCACTCTGTTAGGTGCCCTGGCCCTGGTGGCCTCTTTCATCTTGTACTGCATATATAACATATGATGCTGTAATCAATACATTTTTATTAAACATTCCCTTGAGAAAGGCAGAATGGTACTTTCCTCTCAGATGAGCTTCTAGAAACAAAATTATTCAATTCTATAAGACAACAGGTTCACAACGCTGGGCAACTCTTACAATGTCCAGTTGTAAGCTTCATCAAGCTTGGCTTATACAGATAATAGGGCTAGAGTGAATTCTGACACTGGTGCCATTTTCTCAGCTGCACAAAGGAGATAGTGGGGGAAAGGCCTGAGGCCAAAAAAACCCAGAAGATGGGCAAAGGAAGCCAGATGAGGAAATGGCTATGGCCATACCTGTGTCTCTCATGCCAACATTGACCTTTACCAAAAACATCACAATAGAACAGAAGATCCTAAGCAGGTCAAAAAAACTAAATAGCAAATGCTGAATAAAAACTCATATAGCCTGACTTTATGAAGATTCTCACCACCCAAAGCAGGTAAAAGACTTTTTCTTTTCTAAGAGTCTCTGTTTATCCTTCAATGACAAACGATTTTACGTTAAAGTATTTCAGAAATATATAGATTTCAGATTAGAATAAAGCCTTTTCCATCAAATAACCAATTATGAAAATGATATTATGAATTAAATGTTTTAATCTAAAATTGCACCATTTCAGATGCTGGGGAAGTACATCCATTTTGTGACCACAGCATAGTCATCTCACCCAGCATTTTCTGAGAATGAGACAAAGTGTGCCAGGATGTGTAAAATGAAACTGCCATATATATGAAGTCCAATTTCCTCATTCAATACCTTGAATTATTTCAGTTTGGTATGGTAACATATCACACACACACATACACACACCCATACTCACAAACAAAACCTCAGGAGCAACACTGAAAAAGATGATACTATCTTAGAACTAACCGAAATGTATTTAGGAAAGAACTACGGTGACAAGTTTGACCTTCTATAAATCCATCTCTTTTTTTTGACTGTGCAACCTCTAATTTTCTCTAAATTGGAGAGGGGAGGGTGAGTGGAGGAAAAAAAAGGTGAAAAACATCTAATTCAGAGTGTACAATCTCTCTCTATATACATACACGTATGTGTGTGTGTCTGTATTTTTTCCCTCCACCAAGACTTTGGAGGTCAATAAGAGAAAAAAATGGCTCATAAGACAAGGTTTCAGGGTTAACCCAAGGGAACATCTCAACAGTTGGAGAATTTCAGCTCGGGGGCTATCTGACTAGGGGTATCAGAGGCTGCAGCATTATCGACCAAGAGCACAGGCCGCACCACCAGCATCCCGGGCGCCTCTGCCGTGCGCATTTCCCTCTTATATAAAGAGATGCTTACAGTCCAGGTGCTTTTTCTTGGGGCCCATCACTTCATGAGTAGTGGCTTTGCAGACCGCTCTCGCTACAGCAGAGCCTGTCACGCTGTACTGGGCGGCTGCGATCCGATCCGTGAGCGTTTGGCCCGACATCTTCTCTGGTCGCGTCTACCGCCTCCTCCTCTGCTGGAAAAAAGGGGAGATGGTCCCGCTTTAATCCGCAGACCCTACCCTCCAAGCATCCAGGCCCTGCCTCCTCCAGCCGCACGGCGGCTCTCTCCGCCTCCATCTCCACCCTGGCACCACCTCTTGGAGCCAGCAACGCGCCAAGCCCCGCTCCTGCGATGCGGTCCAGGGAGTCTTGACCGTGAGTAGGGCCGTCACGGAACCCCAGCGTGGGCTCCAGTCACAGCATCGTGACACAGTCCCCATTCTCCCCTGGTCTCCCCATAAGGTCAAATTCACCCCCTCGGTAGCCCCGTCAATCAGCACTTTCCTCGCAACCTGATCCGCGGTGCTGGGCTAGCCACGACGTGTGCGTCGGGGTTATTCCCTGGGCGCTGCACCCACCAGTGCCCACCTCCCACCTCCGCAGACTTTCCTCCTAGCAGCCCGCAGGCTTCGGGGAATGCATCAGATACCCAAGCCCTGGCCGCCTCCCTCCTCCTCCTTGGGCCGCTGCAGCAAAGGGCTCGTCCTCCCTCAGTCGCGAAGGAGATTATCCTAGCGTTGCGCCATGTTATGCCCTCGCCTCCCCTTCCCTCCTCGCCGCAGCCTCCAAAGCCTCGCAGAGGCCCATCGCCCGGGCCCCTTCTCCCCGGTCTCCAAATCCCTGCCGCAGGGGCCGCCCAGGAGCTCTGCGGAGGCGCCGGGGTCTTGGGGCGCCTCACCCTTCTTGGCTTTGGAGCGGAGCCGGGCTGACAGCACAGCCCAGCCCCCGCCCGCTCCGTAGCGCGACGCGGAGCTGTCACTCGGCCGCTGCCCTTCTCTGCACCCTGGGATTATCCTCTGTGGATCCCCGCGCGGCCCTGGCTCGGGGAGGGGGCCGAGTCCGGCCGCCGGTACTTACCCCGCCCCTGAGCGGCGCCGCCCGCCGCAGGATGAGCAAAACCCGGGCCGCTGAGGGAAGCCGCGCTGGTAGGTGTGTGCGAGCGCGTGCAGACCCGGTGCCCCGGGCGCAATGTCTCCAGCCCTGGCCGGGGCCCGCTCCTCAGCTCCGCGGTCCCGGCGCCCGCCGCCCCTGGCCGAAGAAGCCAGTACCCGCCCGCCGCCGCCTCTTCTGCCAGCGCCGCGGCGTCTCTCTAGCGCTCCAAGCTGCGTCCCCATCCCCGCCCCCACCTCAGCTGTGGTTCCTCCGACGAGTCAGGTGACGGCGGCGGACAAACCCGGACGAGCCTCCCGGAGCGCCTCGCGGCCCCCTCCCAGCTACTCACACACACCGCCCCCCGGGGCCGCGAGCTTAAAGACGTGGGGGCGCCACGCGCAAGCATCCTCAGCAAGCGGGAGGGGAGAAGAAGGAGGCGGAGAGGAGGGGAGGCCAACACCCACCCAGTCAGCCGCCCTCCGCCTGTGCCCGGCCGCCCCTCCGCCGCTGGCTCCGCACTCCGCACGCACTGGGAGCGCGCACCCGGCACACCTGTCCGCGGACTGCAAGGGGCGCCCTGGGCGGCGGGGGCGTTGGCCAAGCCGGGCAAGTGGGCTTCTCGGGTTCTACTCGGTGAAGGCCAAGGCAAGGGCGTCGTCGTGCGCTGCCTGGCGAAGCCCAGCCCCTTCTCCCCCACACTGCCGCGGACACGCCCGCCTGCCAAAGGCGACCGAGGCCCAGATGAACAGGGCGATCTTACATGTCAGATCCTACCGGCCAGCCGCGACCGTTACCTGTGCGTCCTTAGCTGCTCAGGCTCCTCCGCTTGTCTCAGTTACCTGGGATTCCGGGTGGGCAGGTAATTCTAGCCACTTTAGTCTTAAACGGATACTGAGGTCTGCCTCAGGGAGAATAATTAACAAAGCCATTAATCAAGTCCCAGATTACCTTCGACAGTAATCATTTGAGTGCATAAGGAAACCTCTTTGTACCCTTAAAAAGTAATTTCTGCCACTTAAATATAGTGTTGGAAAGTCCGTCAATTGAACATCAAGTGTATATTTGACTAGTAGTACACAGGAATTTCTGAACAGGGATGTGGATTTGGTTAACAGCGTCACGTGTTAACTTCTTCAAACGTTATGTTCACCTTTTTTTTTTCCCCCAAATTCAGTAGCATGAAGATCAAAACTATATTTGTGAACTTTCCTGACATTTTTTTCCCCTGGCTTCTGGTGGCTTCTGTTCGGCCTTGAAGCCATATATGTTTACCTGTCCATCTCAAGGTTTTGTTATATATTCCTCTCTTTCACCTGGTACAGTGTCCAGTATGCAGTCATGATTTCATAACTATCGGGACTGATACTAGCACTAATTGGAAGCTTGATGACCAAAGACAGCTTAAGGGCAACAGTGTCTCAGATACTAGTCTTACCATGTTTACAAGGGAAATAAAAACACAATTGTATTCAAAAACTTGTACTCCAATTTTATAGCAACTTAACATAATTCTGGCCCCAAACTGGAAGAAAGGCAAATGTTATTCTATTAGTAAATGAATAAACAAAATGTGGTATATCTATATAATGGAATACTACTTAGCAATAACAAGAAACAAACTAATACCATTCACGAACCTCAAAAGCATTAGAAGAAGGGAAAGAAGCCCAATCCAAAATTCTACTTATTATTTTGATTTCATTTATGTGACATTCCGGGAAAGTTGAAACCATAGAAACAGAAAACATATCAGGTTCCAGTGACGGTGGCGTTGGGGGAGGGGACTGCAAAAAGGCAGAAGGGAACTTTTTGCAGAGATGGAAATGTTTTATATCATGATGGTGAAGGTGATTCTACAACTGCATGCATTTCTGAAAACTCATCAATTGGTTCACTTAAAATTGGCAAATTTTGTTGTATGTAAATTATACCTCAATATAATCTGATAAAAAGAATTGGAGTGGCAATATTAATATCAAAGTAGGTTTTACAATAAGGAATATTAATAGCAATAAAGAGGCACATTTCATAATGAAAAATTTGTCAAGAGCATGTAACAATTCTACGTGTTTATATATCTAAGAACAGAGCTTTAAAATAGAATGAAGCAAAACCTAATAGTATTAAAAGGAGAAATAGGCAAATCCATAATTATACTTGAGGATTTCAGCACTTTTTTCTATGTAATAAATAGGACAAGTAGGCAGGAAACCTGTAAGAGTAGAGATGACTTGAAATAGCCCTGCAGACCAATTTGACCTAATTGACATTTATAAAATAGTCTACCCAACAATAGTGGAATACCTTTTTCAAATGTGCATAGAGCATTCACCAGGATTGACCATATATTGAGTGAGACTAAGCCATGAGGCTAGTCTCAATAAATTTAAAAGGATTACAATCATACCCATTATGTTCTCTTACCACAGTGGGATTTAACTAAAAATCAGCAACAGATAGATATATGGAATCTCTAAATATTTGATAATTAAACAACACATTCTAAATAATCATGGGTTCAATTTTCTCCTAAGGAAAATTGGAAATTTATTTAAACTAAATAATAATGAAAATGCAACATATCAAAATTTGTGGGTTACAGGCAAAGTGGTGATTAGAGGCAAATTTATAGCATTAAAATGCTTAGGAATAAAGAAAGATCTAAAAATAACAAGTTTCAACCTTAAGACACTAGAAAAAGAACAAATTGAACTGAACATGAGCAGAAAGAAGGAATAAAGTTAAGAGTACAAATCAGTGAAAGAGAAATGACAAATAATAGATAAAATCAATTAAACCAAAAGCCATTTTTTGGAAAAGATTACAAAACTGATAACCCCCCCTAGCCAGACTGAGCAAGGGAAAAATAGCACAAATTTTCAATGTTAGGAGTGAAAGGGGAAATCGATTCTATGGACATTAAAAAAATAAGAGAATGTTATAAACAACATTGTGTAATAAGTTGGACAATTTACATAAAATGAGGAAATAGTATAAAATAATGGTTCTCCAACAGTCCAGTAATGATGTCATGTTACATATATTGCTATAAGAGGTTTTAAACAAGTAATGCGTTTCCAATAATAATTAAAATAATACAATCTGTGATTTATTTTTCAAAATAGATTGGAGTGGGTTCAAAGCCAATCCTATAATAGTGTGAAATTACATACAATACACTGGCAAATATTTGAAGCCAGAGCTTATTCTTCACACGCTACTCATGTCTCTGGTACTATGCATGGGAGAATATCCCACACATAAACATTCTGCCATAGTGCTAGCAGAATGTTTGAAAATCCCTCAACTATAGAAGTATATACAAATCAATAGATAACGTCAAGAATGGAACCAATATATGAAATATGTGTTGTTTGGGAAGATCTTACTGAGCTTTGAAATAGTAGAATATTTTTGTGGCAAGACTTTGGAGATGCTGGCTTCTTACAGCCAGGAAAATCTAGAATTACATCCATAAATGTTACACACTAAAGTGAAAGAAAGAAAAATATACTGACATAAAAATTGACTTGTTAACATGTTCTCTTTGAAAGCACAGACACATAATAAATGATATTCAATAAATCTTAGGCAAGAATAAGAATTGGCATTTAATATTTTATAAGTTGAAAGATCTTTTGATCTCAGTGGTCAGAAAATAGGGTAATTATAATAAACATCCCAAATTGCTTTTTAAAAATACATATTGAGGCTGGGTGTGGTAGTTCACCCCTATAATCCTAGCAGTTTGGGAGGCTGAAGTCAGCAGATCACTTGAGGTCAGCAGTTTGAGACCAGCCAGGCCAACATGGTGGAACTTCATCTCTACTAAAAATACAAAAAATTAGCCCATCATGGTGGTGCATGCCTGTAGTCCCAGCTACTGGGGAGGCTGAGGCCCAAGAATCGTTTGAACATGGGAGGTGGAGGTTGCAGTGAACTGAGATTGTGCCTCTGCACTTCAGGCTGGGCGACAGACTGAGACTCCATTAAAAAAAAAATACATATTGAATTTTTTTTCTGAGTCAATATACATATATGCTACTAGACAGATTTTTCTGAGTCTCTGATTATTTATTTATTTATTTATTTATTTATTTTACTTTTTGTATAGACAGGGTCTAATTATATTGACCAGGCTGATCTTGAACTCCTGGCCTCAAGTGATACTCCTACCTTGACCTCCCAAAGCACTGGGGTTACAGGTGTGATCCACCATACCCAGCTAAGTGTCTGATTTAATACACGTTTTCTTCTGAGTATCAGATTTAATATAGAAAAATCAAGCCAACAATAATTACACTTAGACCAACAATTTATTTCTGCACACATGAGGGAAAATATCTTCAAGTTCTTGGTTTCAGTTTATTTGCAAGATACAACACATGTACAAGAAACAGAGAGAAATAAAGCTGAAGATAATTTGATTGCCTCAGATAACAACCTGAGGTGAAATTAGCAAATTTATATATTTCTCCTAAATCTATAATATCATTCTCAAGATAAAACTATAGGGTGAATTTCATTCCAGGAATGCTTTTCTGTCAAAGTGGAAAAAACGTATTGGTACAAGAATAACCACACTGGTATATATCCACTCCTACACACAAATGTGATATCGCCACCCAAACTCAAAAGCAATTGACAACAAAAAGCAAATTTTGGTATTCTGAATGCACTTGAGCAGAGACAAAATCTTGCTTGTCTTTTATGAGACAACAAATGAAAAAGACCATAAAACTGATGAACTCTCTAGTATAACAAGAAAAATTGTAGGTTGAACAAAATATCAGTAAGATTTAGATACAAACAACTTGATCATCTTAGGGAAATATAACATTCATCCATGAAACCATTCAAGTTACTTTAAAATTACGTTAATGAAGTAATTCCAAGCCATAACAAACATATTTACTAAGTTATGTTTTGCCTAAAATTCAGGTTAGAAATGAATTCATCATGGTAACTGACATGATAAAAAGGAACATATATATTTTACATGCCTAATGGCATAAAAACAATTTATGTCATTTTCATTTGCTTCCCTGTTTTAAATCTATTATTTATTGTTGTGTAATGAACTTTGTGGCATACAACAGCAAGTTTTTATTCTTTCTCACAATTTTGTGGGTTAACAGGGCTCTGCTGGGTAGTTCCCCTTCGAAGTCTTTTATGTAGTTGCAATCAGGTGACAGCTGGTCTGTAGTCATTGGAATTCTCCACTGGGCTACCCAAGATGGCTTATGCACTTTGACATCTGGCAGATGAAACTTACTGGTTTATTATTACTATTATTATTATACTTTAAGTTCTGGGGTACATATGCAGATTGTGCAGGTTTGTTACATAGGTATACATGTGCCATGGCAGTGGTTTGTTGCATCCATCGCCCTGTCATCTACGTTAGGTATTTCTCCTAATGCTATCCCTCCCCAATCCCCCAATCCCCTGCTATTCCTTCTCTAGCCCCCCACTCTCCAGGCCCCAGTGTGCGATATCCCCCACCGCTATGTCCGTGTGTTCTCATTGTTCACCACCAACTTATGCGTGAGAACATGCGGTGTTTGGTTTTCTGTTCTTGTGTCAGTTTGCTGAGAATGAAGGTTTCCAAAACTGGCTGTTGAAATGAGAGCTTGGCTGGGGTTTTGACCAGAGCACCTACACAGGGCATCTCTGTGTGTCTGGGCAACTCACACAGAGTGGTTCAGGGTAATCACATTTCTTACACAGTGGCTGGCTCCCAAGAGGGAACATCCCAAAATGGAATGTTCTAGGAAACATAGGTGGAAGCTGTAAGGTTTCTAATTACCTAATCACCAAGCATCAGTCTGTTGTATTCTATTGATCAAAAGCAAATTA